GTCGCGCGCGACGCGGCGCGCGCGCGTCGCGCGCGCGCCCCGCCCCCCCCGCCCACTGCGGGAGCGGACGGGGCGGGTGCCAGGCGCAGACACATCGCTGTTGCCCCCGTTCAAAACCTGTGTACGCATCCGTGCCCATCTCGCGTTCTTGGCACGGGGTTCTGCTCAGAGGCTTGTGGCCTGCCCGTGTCGGACATGCACGACCCTGGACTGTCGCGCACGCCGGCCGGCAGACCCTTGGCGGCCGCCCACCCACCCTGCGCACCTTGGTGCGGGCCTCCAGACCGATGGCACCGTTGTCGCTGACGTCCGCCAGCGCGTCCACTCGCACGCCCAGCGCACACTTGGCCGCCAGGACGCGCGAGATCTTGCCCTTGTTCTTGGGCGCGGCCTGGCCAATGAGCGAGGCGTGGTAGATGAGGCCATACTTGGGCGTCTCGTGCTTGGTCTTGAGCGCCCTGTGCAAGACAAGATGGGGGCGGGTAGGCTTGAGAGAGGTTTATCTCTTCCACATCGTCAGGGGGCTCATACTATGCAGTACGCCCCTGAGCATTGGCTTTCCCCCGCCCTTGTGCCCCCTTCTCACCCCGACGCACCTGAACAGCGCCTTCTCGGCCCCCAGGATCTGGATGGTGGACGCCGGGGCTTTGGCCAGGTTGACCAGGGAGCCGACGTGCGCGATGAGGCGCGCGCCCACCAGCTCGCCGACGAGGACGGTGAGGTTGGGCGCGATGGCCGCCATGCGCGACTTGAGGTAGTCATACAGCTGGCCGCGGTAGTCGGAGAGGGCGATGACCTGGTCGCAGAGTGCGCCCACGTTCAGCACGTCCTCCTCGCTCACCTCCGTCCCCATGGAGATGACGGCTGTGAAGGGAAGGGAGAGGGCGAAGGGATGTGTGGGGTAGGGGTGTGTATGGTGCTGGGGTGGAGTGAGCATGAGGCGAGCTGCCCATCTCTTCCATGCCGCCTCGTCATTCCCCCGTCTCCCCGCCCTCATGCCCCCACTGCCACCCCCCCTGGATTCCCTCCCCCCCCACTCCCCCCCCCCACCCCCCCCCCACCCCTCGCTTCCTTGAGGGCGGACTCCACCTCCTCCTCCAGGAAGTCGGAGAAGTCGAGGTCGGCGGCCTTCTCGCGCGTGCCCATCAGCTTCACGGTCTTGGCGTAGGCGATGTTGTCGCCCACGATCTTGGTCATCTCCGGGAAGTGCCAGCCGTACCACTCGCGCACGCGCATGGCGTAGGTGTTCAGCTCCTTGTCCAGGTCGTCCAGCAGGCCGATGGCCTGGATGATCATGGTGTCCACCTTGTCGGGGGAGAACTTGAGCTTGTAGCGGGACAGGGAGTGGGACAGTCCCAGGGACATGGGGCGCAGGTCCGCCTCGTGGCCCAGCCCCGCCAGCAGGCCGCCCAGCTGGTTGCGCACGCCGCGCGTCAGCTCCGACACGCCCGTGGAGTACACGCAGGGGATCTCCAGCTTCTCCTTGATCACGTTGCCCAGCTTGGCATCCAGCACCGCCAGCGTGTCGGAGCCGGCATGCTTCTTCAGGAACTTCTTCAGGCCTGGCGATGATGGGAGGGGTGGGCGGGGAGAGGGGTGGGGCTGAGTTTCTGTGTGCCTCGGAAGCGAGGGGCCCCTAGCAATGGCCCAGGCCTGGCGACTATGTATCAAGCCACCTGCGTACTGCAGACTGGGTCATGCAGGCGAATCCCCACCACCCAAGGGCGTCCGTCCACCTTCCCCTCCTCACCTCCCATTCCCCCCCCACCTTCCCTCCACAATCACTCACTCTTGCTGACTTTAGAGTCCACCAGGGACGCGGCAGCCTGGAGGGCATCCGCTGTGTTCTCAAACTTGCTGAAGGCCTTCAGCTTCACAACCTGCAGGGGTGCATGGCAGCACCAGGTGTTTGATGGCGAGGATCTCGACGTTGGAGGGAGTGCACCGCCAGCGGTGATCAGAGGCAGGCTGGCTGGGGAGGCACGCGGCTGTCGGTCTGGGCCCCATAACCACCCACCAGTCTGCACAACCAGCATCAGGGGATACATCGTGCGCACTGCAAGACCCCAGCCCACCTTCTTTGCGGCATCCAGGGTCTCAAAGCTGCTCCACACATCCTGTTCATCGAAGCGTGCGCGCGTGGTCATGAGCTTGGCAGTCACCAGGGCCTGGCGCGCAGCGTGCAGTGGCATGCCGGGGAGTGCGTACCTGTGTCTCGGCCTCCTTCAGCTTGCCCTCATCCAGAACCTTGAACAAGGCAAACCCCGCAGCGGACTCGAAGAGGAGCAGCACCATGGTGGTCCCAAACGCGAGGGTGGCGCAGCCACGAGGGGGTGGAGTGGCACTCGCGGGACCAGCACTCGGAGCTGGCGTGGAAGGGGAGATCCTACTACTTGTTCAGGTATGATAATTTTCCACCCTGTGGTAATCTTATATGCCACTCGGGCCTGGGAGTGGGAGGGTGGAACACTGGGGGCGCCACCGGCGGCACTCTCCGCCACGGTGGTGGCCCATGGACATTTCCCGCGCGTGGGTGCCTGGGGATCTACTCAGCACGACGCACGGGTGTTACGGAGCCCTCCTGCCATGCTGTGAACCCTTGAAACCTGTCATGTCCGCCCGAACCCCAAGTAAATCCTAGACCGATCAGCATGAGTTCTTCGGAGCCCAACAACTCGGGGGCGCTGGACCCCTCCAGCCTAGCTCCACGCATCCTCCAGGTGGTGCAGGGGGATGGCACCTTTGACGAGCCTGCTGTCCAGGCCTACATGCACTCCTCTGGAGTAGAGTCTACCGGCATAGACTACACCGTCGTGGCCATCATGGGACCCCAGAGCTCTGGCAAGAGCACACTGCTCAATGCACTGGTGCGCTGCAGGGTGGTGGTGGGTGGGGGGGGGGTTGGACCTGGTTGCCGTACAGGAGGCCCTGCAACCTCACCGCTCCCATTGCATGCAATGGGGATGCCATGGCACCCACGAAAGGGGTTTGCCATGAAGATGCCACACGCAGCGCCCCTCGGTCAGGACAGCCCTGTGCGCCCGGCGTGCTGCCTGGCGATCGCATTGCCGCTTTAGCCAGGATGGAGGCATGCGTTCCACTCGACGCCTTTCATCATGCCTGCCGCTCCCGCTCTTTGTGCTCGCCCTCTACACCCACAACCCCTTCTCTCCCCATTCCCCCACTCCCCAGTTTGGCACCAGCTTCACCGAGATGGACGCGTTGAGCGGGCGATCGCAGACCACGCGCGGCGTCTGGCTGGCCCCCGCCCCCCGCATCTCCGAGCCCCTGACCCTGGTCATGGATCTGGAGGGGTCGGATGGCCGCGAGCGCGGCGAGGACGACACCTCCTTCGAGCGCCAGTCGGCGCTGTTTGCCCTGGCGGTGGCCGACGTGGTGGTGGTCAACATGTGGGCCAAGGATGTGGGGCGCGAATCCGGGGCCGGCAAGCCCCTGCTGAAGACCATCTTCCAGGTCAACCTCAAGCTGTTCCAGCCCGCCGCGGGGCAGCGCCGCACCGTCCTCCTCTTCGTCTTCCGGGACCGCACCCGCACCCCCCTGGACCTGCTGCGCAGCACGTGGGAGGTGGACCTGGTGCGCATGTGGGAGGGCATCGCCAAGCCCCCGGCCTACGAGGGCCTGCCCCTCACCGACTTCTTTGAGGTGCAGTATGCCGCGCTGGCCAACTACGAGGACCGGGCAGAGGACTTCAGGGCCGAGACCCACCTCCTCCGCCGCAGGTTTACGCAGGAAGGTGCGTGCGTGTGTGTGTGTGGGGGATGTTCTGTCCTGGGGGCCGGGGGCGTTTATGTGGTGGAAGTAAAACCCCGCGAGTGGCCACCTGCATGGGTGAAGACTCCGCTGCAAGCGGGCAAGGACGCACCGTCTGAATAGCCTCACTGCAGAAAGGATACGTAGGTAGGTACCATTACCCGCTTCGCTGCTCCTTAGCGTCCTCCCATCCTCACCCCATCCCACACAATCCTAGATCCGGAGACGCTGCTGCGCTCCTACCCCACCAAGCTGCCCGGTGCCGCCCTAGGCCTGAGCATGGCCAAGGTGTGGGAGGTAATCCGCGCCAACAAGGACCTCAACCTACCGGCCCACAGGGTGATGGTGGCCAACTTGCGTTGCGCCGAGCTGGCCGAGGCCACCTTCCAGGCCTTCGCCGAGGACCCGGCCTGGCAGGAGGTGGCAGGGGAGGCGGACCTGGTCCCTGGCTTCGGCTGGCGCGTGTCAGACCAGCTCACAGAAGCGCTCGCGGGTGAGGGTGGGG